CTGGCAAACAGAAGTGAACAAACGAACAGAAAGAATAGGAGCATGCTTCATATAAAACACTGAGATTCCTTTTATTTTAAAAGCACAGGAATTAGAAAATAAAAGCAAGGAGGTATGGGTGATATTAAAGACACGCATTTACTGGTTTATTTTTTCGATGTGCAGCTATTGAAATGTTCCTACTGAAAAAACAAAAATGAAAGATGCATGTTAAGATCAAGACAAGACTCAGAAAGTAATCAAAACTTATGAAATTCAGAAAAGTTTTGAAGGTGACAAGATGCACTAGGCCCCTCCACAGGGTTAAGTCAATTGTAACCAGATGCTGGGGGCATAAGGCTAGCAAGGATACAGTTTCTATAAGTTATCACTAATGATGGAGTGAGTTTGCTTGAGTCATCTATGATGTAAACAACTCTTCACCTGGTATTTTGTGAGTGACAGTAATAAAGTCACTTGTTCACTTAAGATAGACTGCTTCTAGTCCAGTTGTCATGGTTGTTCTACCTAGGGTGAATAGGTATTTATTCACATCTTCCTGAAAAGTAACGAAGTACCCAAAGTCATTTGATGCATCAGAGACCATCTCAAAAGCATTATGCATGAACAAAATTACAGAGAAGAAAGAAGAGAAAAATAAAAATTATGGCATTAATAAATTGTAAGTATCCTAGCTTAAGCATTTGCTCATATTTAAAATTGTGTAAAACATGGTACGTCAATAGAGTTTTGACTTGTAAACAATACACTTTTACCATGACTAACACACACCCAGTGGGCTGTGTCACACTCTTCCCTTATTATAGTTCTTCACTTGCCAGTGGGAATCAGATTCACAAGCAAAGTGACTGTGCATATATTTGACTACACACCCTGAAGACTTTGGTTACCCTGTTTTTACACATCTATGAGATATCAGTTTGCTTTCTACACTATTACTAAAAATTTTCCCACATCTTTCCTTCTAATGAGTTAGCACATGACCAAATAGTTTTCTAATTTAGGGAAAGCAAAATGAAGGCTCACACCTCTTGAAAGATTATAGCCTCTCTACTGTCTTGATCCTAGAGAATATAATGGCAGGATATCTGCCTCTTACATTACAAAAGAATAAATGAAATAAATTCATAGTATAATAAATTCATAATGCTAAAGAATTACAAAAGAAATCTGTTAGTGCTACTTAAAAATATTTAAAACATATTTTCAAAATTATACAGAAAATATAAAGACAAAATCTTTAAAGTGCAAAGGGTTAACATATTTGGGTTAAAAATTTAAATTTATTTTATTTGTATGAATGCTCTGCTTGCATGTATGTCAGTGTACCATGTGCATGTAGTACCCTCAGAAGCTAGAAGAGGATGTTAGAACTTCTGAGACTGAGTTACAGATGGCTCTGAGCTGCTATCTGGATGCTGGGAATCAAATCTGGGTCCCCTGGAAGAGCAGCCAGTGCTCTTAATTGCTGAGAAATTTCTCCAGCCCTATTGGGTTAAATTATAATATATTAATGCAGCAACCTAACAAAATTGTCTCCAATTAGACTTTCTACAAGCAAGGGAATAATTTATTCCCAGTGTAAGCAACACTTAAAATCTGGAAAATACTGCATTAATAATTCTGTTTAGAAATATCCTGCCACCAAACAGTAAGTTCAGCATAAGCGTAGAGAGAAGGGGAGAGCTTTTGTCCTGTCTTGTATACTGCTTTGTTTTCATGTTTTGGAGGCCTAATTTTTTCAAAGAGGACTTTGGATGAGGGCAAGGATCTAGGGGAGGGAGGAGTTGGGGGAAACTGGAAGGAACAGATTGAAGGGAAACAGATGGAATGTATTGTATGAGAGAAAAACATATTTTCAAAAAAGGAAATATGCTAAAGAGAAATACTCTTGAATAAGTGGGAATTCCTCCTCCATTATAGAGAATTTATGTCACAGAGGATTAGTAAATACTGCAATAGGATGCATACAAAGTAATTCAACAACCTTTTCTGAATGTCTTCCATAGAAAGGCAGTATACCTTGTGTTTGGATGCAAAGATGAGAAAATCATAAGATAATTGGAAATAAACATGTAAATTTCTCAAAATGTGCTCTCTAGCTCTGTAAAGACTTCTACTAGAGAGGGGAGCTGTATTTATTTTGCTTATGAAATTAAGAAGAAACGTTGCATGAACATATGAACTCAGACAGTCACTGTCAGCATGCACAGGACATCCAGAAGCTCAAGGAAGACAAGATCCTAGATGGAGGGAAGGAAAGTGAAACAATTAGTTATCCAATACTAAAACAATAGACCCTGGAAACATGCATGAAAATAACATTATACATACAGATGAGAAGGTTATAATAGAAATATATGTGTATTCATGTATCAACAAGTAACAGAAAAAGAGGCCATAAATCTGAAAGAAAGGGAGGTTCTTAAGTGTCTTAGGATTTTACTACTGTGAACAAGACACCATGACCGAGGCAAGTCTTGTAAAGGACAGACAGCATTTAACTGGGGCTGGCTTATAGGTTAAGAGGTTCAGTCCAGTATCATCAAAGTGGCAATATGGCAGCATCCAGGCAGGCATGGTGCAGGAGGACATGGGTGTCCCTTATCTTCATCTGAAGGCTGCTAGCAGAATAATGACTTACAGGAAGCTAGGATGAGAGTCTTAAAGCCCACACCCACAGTGACACACCTACTTCAACAAGGCCATATATTCTAATAGGGCCACACTCCCTGGGACAAGCATATTCAAACCATGACATTTCACTCCCTGGCCTTCATAGGCTTGTTCAAATATGAGTCTATGGGGGCCAATCTAGACATAGCATAATGCAAAAATACATTAGGTCCAACTTCAAAAGACTACAGCAGACTCAACAATTTTAAAAGTTCAAAGTTCAAAGTCTTTTCTGAGTTTTATCCAATCATTTATCTGTAATCACCAAAGCAAGACAGAAAAGCAGCATGGCAAACTCCAAACTCTGTCAAAGTGGTCTTCAGATCTCCAACTCCTTTTTCATCTTTGTTCACTTCAACAAACTTCTTTCTCCTGGTCTGTTTTCACTCCCTGTTAGCAGCTTTCCTCAGTAGATAGCCATGGTTCTGGCATCTTGAACTACTTGGGTTCTCCAAGGTAACTTCAATGTTACATCTTCTTGTTTCAATGTCTGGGATCCACATATAATCTTCTGGGCTCCTGCATCACTTCTCCAGCTCTGCCCCTTCTGTGGCACTCTAAGCTCATCCAATCCATTGCCACTGATATTCTTGGTGATCATCCCATGGTACTGGCATCTCCAAATCAATGGATCTTCTGTTGCAACTAGGCTTCACCAATAGCCTCTCACAGGCTCTCTTCATGGTGCTGAGCCTCAACTCCTTTGCATGAAATCGTCAGTTCTGGACATAACTGCAACAGAGGCTGCACCTTCACCAATGGCCTTCCCTGATCTCTCACAGTACCAAGCCTCAGCTGCTCTTCATGACCCCTTCATGCCTTCAAAACCAATACCACCTGGGTGATTCTTACACATTACCAAGTCCAGCTGCAGCATGAAGTACAATCTTGGCTCTCTCTGGAACACATCTTCTTTGTGCTCTCAGAAAACACGTCTCAGGAGATTTCATCTCAGTGATGCTGGTCTCTTCTTAATCACCTAATTTCTTAGCTCCAGCTAACCAACATCAATTGTCCCAGTAGTTCCTTTTATTCTAGACTCTAAAGCCAGAGGCACATGGCTGAAGCTGCTGAGTTCAGCTGCCTGGTGAGACTGAAACATGGCCCCCCTTGTCCTACTACATCATCACCAGCTTTCTGTTTTCCAACTCCTTCTCTGTCTAAGCTTGGCTGTTCTGGAACTTGCTCTGTAGACTAACTTTGAACTCAGAGATCTGCATTCCTGTCTCCTAAACACTAGGATTAAAAGTGTGGTCCACCAAGCCTAGATTTAAGGTTTTCTTCACCTAGAACTTACTCTGATCTAGGTTGGCCTTGAACTTAGTGATCTGCTTGTCTTTGCCCCCTCGGATTAAAGGCTAGTACTACCATGCCTGGACCTAAACGTAGCAGATGGGATCTTGCCTCAAGATTGCTACCCCCTTAATTCGATTTAACATCATTAAAAACACAAGATTCACGTCCATTTCACTTTTTGGTGCCCTTTTAATACTAAAACCACATATTTTATATATATTTTTTTATTTTCTCAGTTTGCTATGCTTGTTTAAAATGTTCTTCATGAGACTTAATCAGACAACAAAGTCTATGATGGGTGTTTCTGACACTTCCTTCTTCAATATAATTAATCTGAGTCTCTTCACCTTAGCCTGAGGCAGACTCTTTAAACAAGGGCAAAAAGTAGCCACATTCTTCACCAAAATACCACAAAACAGTTGCTAGGCCACATAGGGATATTCTCCACTGAAACACTTTTGGGCCAGATCCTCATGACTTAAATCACTCTCAGTAACAACGTCTTCCATATTCTTACTAGGATAGAGCATTATGTCCCTTTTAAAGCATTCTACTGCTTTCTACATCCAAAGTCCCAAAATCCACATTCTTTCAAATGTGGTCAGGTCTATCACAGCAGTGCCCCAATCCCTGGTACCAACTTCCTTCTTACTTAGGGTTTTACTGCTGTGGACACCATGACCATGGCAAGTCTTTTAAAGGACAACATTTAATTGAGGCTGACTTACAGGTTCAGTGGTTCAGTCCTGTGTCTTCAAAGTGGGAACATGGAGGCATCCAGGCAGGCATGGTGCAGGAGAGGCTGAGAGTTCTACATCTTCATCTGAAGGCTGCTAGCAGAATACTGACTTCTAGTTCACTAGGATCTTAAAGCCTATGCCCACAGTGACACACCTACTCCAACAAGACCACACCTTCTAATAGTACCACTCCCTGGGGCAAGTATATTCAAACCATGACAATGGAAGACTTTGAAGTGAGGAAAAGGAAGGCAAAATAATATAATTGTATTATAATATTAAAAAAAATCCCCTTGGCAATGGGCCAAGTGATACTTGGTTGGTGGTATTGTCTTATATCTGTCAGGGGCAGAGCAGATATCAGTCCTTTGTTCATCCTAGCTTGATGTCTGGCTTGGTGGCCAAAGCTGTTTTATGCCTAGGACACATAAAAATCAAATCAAATCCAGGCAGTACAGCTCAGGAGAAGAGAGATAGACAGGGAACAGTATCGAGCCATGCTGGCATGAGATGATGTCCACAGATCTGCCACATGGCACAGGCGAGCCATAGGCACACAGAGTCCTCATTGCCTGACATCATGCAGTGCAGTACTAGGGGTAAGAAGACACAGAGAGAGATGAGGACCACCATGCTAGCCACAGGTCTACCCTCCAGTGCTCAGCACAGACAGGCCATAGAAACCTGCTTACAAGGCCAGAATGTCACACCCAGATTGTCAGCCTCATGATCAGCCTGCAGCAGGAGACACCACAATGTCCTAGTATGTGGTGAACAAATGGGAGAGAAAGAGAAGTAGACCGACTTAAACATTATGGAGAGAGACTCAAGGGTGGAGAAGAGTAGGCTGTCATGAATGGCCAGCCCCACAACCTGGGGCAACTGTGAGGTCTCATCCTAAGCTGCCACTGAAGGCCATGTTGGAACTCATGGTTTCATAGCAGCGGGGTCAGTATCCATGTGTCTGAGTCATCTCCCCACTAGAGAACATGGGGACAACTAGGAATGGAGCCACCTGGATTTCCAGGGGCTGTGCAGAACTAACCCTGCCTTTCACTGGTTATAGCACTCTGGAGAGGAGGCCCCATCTTGTAGCAGCAACTTGGAAGAGCAGGCCCTGCACCTTGCCCAGGCAGTGCAGTGGAACTGGTTCTAGTGGCTGAGATGTGGGTGAGCCAGCCCCAAAGGCATACATAAGTGCGGGAGAGCTGACCCCATCACTTGTCTGCTGTGAGGTGGGAAGAGTACAGGGGTGATGCCCATCCCTGCAACCACTGGCAGTTGGGAAAATTGTCCAAGAGCGTCACGGGCATGGGAGACCTAGCCTTGTTCCTCACCAGCTTCATCACTTAGAAGAGCAGACCCTGTACCTCGCCTGAATAGCACAGCAGAGTCGACCGTGGAGGAGGCAGGTGAACTGATTGTCTCTGCTACTCATCTGCAATAGTTATGGATGTGGGCAGATCCCCAACCCCCACCCCTCACTACATGTGGCAGTGGGGAGAGCATGAGATCTATCCCTGCCCCTCACCAGCTGCAGCCCAGGAGAGTAGGGTTTGTACCTCACCTTAGCTACACAGTAGAACTAGCCCTGGTGGCAGGGACATGGGTGAGCTATCTAGCAGAAATAGTGAAAAAGGGAGAGCAGCAAATCCTCTGTCGTGAGGTGGCCTGGACTTGGGGAATATGTCCTCTGTTCCTTTACCCCTCGTCATGTGCAGTTGGGCGAGCTGATTTCAGGATCATGAAAGCAGTTGAGTTGGCCAAGTCCATCACTGGCTCCAGGTCCTGCACCTATCCTGGGAAGCACAGTAAAGCTGGCGCTGGTGAAGAGGGCACAGGTTATCCACCAGGAGGGTGAGACTGCAGAAGAGGTGGCTCAGCCGCTTGTCTACCATGATGTGACCTGCGAGCTGGAGTGATGCCCCACCCCCACACCATGACCTGTATTAATCTGGAGAATGGGACCCTGAGGGCATGAGAGCAGGGATAGCTATTACTGGCCTGCAGTGTGATTTAACTTGTGTGCCTGGCACTTTAAAGGATCCCGAGTTGCCAGTTAACTGGCCCTTTAAGAATCCTTATCTGTTGAATTACTTGATCCTATGACCTCCAGTGTTGGTTGCCTCTTGGATTTCTGGGAACAGGGTACAAAAAAAAAAAATTTAAAAAACAGCTGAAGCTGAGAAAAGTGTGGGAGTGGGGTAGAGGCAGGGGAAACAGAGCAGAGTGAGAAGAGAAGGCATTTGGTGCAGAAGATATTCTTAGGATACAGTTGAGCCAGGAGAAGCTGGGCAAAGCAGAGAGGCTAGAACAGTTGTTATAGTCTGGAGCTGGAAGAAGGGAATGCTTAAATAGGGTATCAAAGGAAGAACAGTTGGGAGAAACCTTTGAAGGAACCTAGGCTGAAAGCTGGAAGAACTGGCAGGGAGTCAAGAGATCTGGTTACTGTTCTAAAAATGCTAGTCATTTTACACTAACCTGTCATTGGCTGTAGTACTTGGGAGAGTGGGCCCTGTCAATACAATGAAACTGACCCTGGTAGCTAAGGCATCTGTGATCCAGCATCAAGGCTCAAGGATGAGAGAGTTGGCCCACCCCTTGCAGACTGCAGTGCTTGGGAGCAGGAGCCAGCAGAGTATAGCTGGCTCCGGAGCTGTGGGTGCCCCTGAGGGCATGAGACCCTGCTTCCTTCCAATGGTGACATTAGGTGGCCTAGCTGGAGCAGAGTTGCATAGCTCATCCTGATAGTGTGGGTACAGGAGAGCTAGTAGGCTGACCAACTCAGCTACCACCCAGGCCCAGATCCTGGAATTTGAGTTAGTCTACCCCAAAATTTACAATGTCTATGAACCGCAGGAGCATGAAAGGGCTGGTCTTGCATATCCAAAGCTTCAGATTCTCCAGGACACAGGACAATAACTAGGAGAAGTCTGGTGAAGATCCAATATTGGTGGTGTCACAGAAGCCAGAGATCTCAAACCAGACTATTGACTCATTACAATGAACATTTGCAAGTGAAGATGTACAGACAGAGAGATAGACGGTGGGAAAAATTGTACCATACTACAGCTTCTAGGAAGAGATGTTTCTTACGCTTTGGATTTTCATTTTGTTTATTTGGTGGGGGGGGGTGTTTGTGTGTTTTGTATTTGGAGTAGTAAGTTAAAGGGCAAGGGTAGATATGAGGGGATTAAGAGATGAGAAGGACTGGAATATATGATGTGATTCTCACAAAGAACTAATAAAATGTCAAAAAATATAGTAATAAAATTATATCTCTCTATATATGAGTGATGAACTTCTCCAATAATAAAAATATTTTAAAAATATAAACAAAAAAGACTTCGTGTCACAAGTGTGTTTTAAATTGTGATTTTAGACTGTGATTAGCAGTGACTAGGGGAAATATTAAGAAAAATTGAAAGTAGGAAAGCTCATAGGTATAATGTAAGAGGTCATATAAAGACTGAAGCTGGAAAGACGTCAGATACCTCTCAGTGAAATATTGGAAAACAAAGCCAGACAAAGAGATCAGGAGTAAGTTCAAGAAAACAATGCAAAAGCAACTACTCAAAGTTTAACAATAAAATAGAAATCAAAGATAAGGGCAATGAAGAAACGGAAAGAAAGAGCAAGGCAGGGAAGGAAGAAACTCTGGAGCTGAAGAAGACATCTGAAATGAACTGTCAAAAAGATGCCTTAACTTTTTTTAAATGGATACGTAGATTCAGAGACATTTGAAATTATCTAGTTAGAGAAACAAAAAGGGAAAAGAATAGAAAGTGGAAAAGACAGTAGAAAGGAGAGGACTGGAGAGGAAGGAGAAGGGAGAGGAGGGAAGGGAAGGGAAGGGAAGGGAAGGGAAGGGAAGGGAAGGGAAGCTGATGAACTTTATGGGACACTGTCAATCAAGCAGTCTGTGCATTATGAGAATCCCAGAGACAAAGAAAGAAAAGTGAAATTGATGTTTATTTACATATACAGTAACAGTCAACTCTGAATCTAGAGGGAAAGTAAACATTATATTGCCCCAAATTTAAATAGCTCCAAATAAGTTGAGCATAGAGATTTCTTCACTGAGAAACACAATAATCAAACTGTACCCAGAGGGAAAGTGTTGAAAGCATAATGAGAAAAGCAACTTGTCTCCAGTAAGATTATAACTTGATTTCCATATTAGTCAGCTTCCTATTATAACAAAATACACACTTCTGGCTACTTAGGAAAGGAGGAGAAGTACATTTGGCTCATGGATCGGAAAGTCCACAGTCAAATTCTTGTATCCCCTTTGATGTGGGGCTTTTGGAAAGGGCAGCCCACTGCATATAATACTTCTTTAACCAGCAAGGATAGAGAGAAGGGAATGGGGTAAGGCTCAGTCACCCCTCGGATGGCATGCATCCAGCCCAGCATGAAGACAATACAACTGACCTTCCCTATTAAAGTCGTATAGCAAGTCCTAGTGTGCTCCTCCTAAAGACTGAAACAACAAGGAATTTTTGCTACTGTGGATGAAGGCTGGTAGAACAAAGCTGGTTACACATAAAATGAGACAACAAAGAAACTCTAACCACAACAGCAACCGAGAATATGGCCATATAGAAAAAAATTTTAAAATGCCTTAGACAAACAAGCTCACCACCTGCCTTACAGTAAAAGCTGAAGAGATGTCTGCATGTTGAACTGAAAGGATATTGATTAACATGAAAACATCTAGGGGTGTGATAAAACATGCAATCAAATATGGAGAACTTTAACACTGTAATGATGTTAAATAATTCTTTTAACTCTAATACTCATGCTAAAACTATTAAAGATAATTACAGATACAAAATATGTTAATGGATACATAACATGAAAATATAAAAGGGTGACATCAGTACCATCAATTGTGGATGATGGAGAGGTGAAGACACAGAGTGTTGTATAGGATTGAAATTATTTATTTTAAAACCTAACACTAACAGTTGTGATGACATATGTCTTAAATTCTGGGGCCATTACAAAAATATAAGCTTGTAGTGAATGCATGAAAAATAAAGGAACTAAATATGCCCCTTAGTGAAGTAAAACAGCAAAAGAAAATTAGAAGGAAATGTAGTACTAATACTGACAGTGTGCTTTCCAGATCATCAACCTTCTAGGTTGCCTTCAATCTACATCTAAATTCAAATACTATTAATCTGAAGCTCGATCTTGATGGCTACAGGGAATCTGTTCATTTCTACTGAGCTTTGGATGTTTAACCCTGAACAGCCCAAACTTCTTACATCAAGTGCTAGGCCTGGTTGTTCTCTTGCATTACCAAGAACATACACCAACATGTCTATTTCTCAAATTATCTGTCATCTGAGACTTTGGGGCTAAATAGTCAAAGAGTTCCCTTAATGATATTACAAAGTAATAATAACAATAATCAGCAAAATTG